TTATGTTGTGTATATTGTATATGTCGTGTATGTTGTATATGTTGTGTATATTGTATATGTTGTATATATTGTATATGTTGTATATATTGAATATGTTGTATATATTGTATATGTTGTATATATTATTATGTTGTATATATTGTATATGTTGCATATATTGAATATGTTGTATGTATTGTATGTGTTGTGTATGTTGTATACATTGAATATGTTGTGTATGTTGTATATATTGTGTATGTTGTATATGTTGTATATATTGTATATGTTGTATATATTGTATATGTTGTATATATTGTATTTGTTGTATATATTGTATATGTTGTATATATTATTTATGTTGTGTGTATTGTAAATATTGTATATGTTTCCATACACTAATGGATGTTTCTCCCTACGGTTCCTACATTTGTTAGACTGTGTGAGTTGTTGTATTATTCGGTCTTTATGAATTTTTAAATACTTAGATTAAGTAAATGTATGACTCTTGTTTTTAGAAAATGAAGAATAACAGATGTCCATGTTGCTTTTACACCAATGAAACCTTTATATAATAACGTTAGTTCTATCGTTTACAAGCGTGGTCAGAGATTATTCTCTCTGTAAATTGTACTGATGTTGTTGTTGTCGATATGATCAAAACCTACCGAAAATTGTACGAAAAATACAGGAATACTGAAAGCAAACAAAATGTGATCAAAGCAGCAACTTGTAAACTACTTTAAGGACCTTTCAGTGTATGAAAAACTTGGTGAACAGTAGAAAACTTAAAAACGTTTCAGTAAAAGATTTTAATACATTTCATAATGCTAGGAAAGTACTGAACTCTAGAAGACTAAAACAGGGAGGAATAAGAAGAACAGTGAAAATAATATCAAACAATAATTATTAGCTAAGTTATTCTAGGCTCTACCAGACTGGAAAGAGAAACCTGTAACTCGGCATTCTTTTACCAAAGAGAGTTGTATCTAAGGAATACAGATGGTGTATTATCATGGTCTAAATCGTATTGGAAACGTACGTTTCTATTTCAAAAATATGAAACGTTTTGGATACGATAATTTTTCCGGTACTCATAAATATATTTAATCGTATCTAAAATAGATGCTATGTAGTTATACTACCAAGAATACAATTTTAGAATATTACATGACTTGTTGGAACTCAGAAATCATGTGGACTTGTCATGTACTGATAAAAAAGTATAAGGAACGCACTTACTCTCTGAAAACTTTTTTTTTAGTTTCTTCCATGTTTCGTTATTATAATAATATCGCAAAAGTGGAATAGCCCGAATTTTTATTTCTTACATAAGAGGTACTAAAGTGAAAATTCAGATTTTTCTCCACTTAGTGTTTAATGTCCTGGAAGTAATATAATGTCTTTTCAGTAGAACATATTATAAAAATATAACCATGAAGGTTTTCTATGAATTGTTCACCATCATTTGATGGGATCTTCAGGGAGGAATTAACGCTATTCTCTGCAAATCACACTTCACACGATTTATACTGAAGCTCAGCATGTGAAAGAGGGTTAGGAATTAATTTAGCGCAAACTCTTAAATTGCGTGCTGGCAGCCTTTGTAATGAAACGTTCTTGGATATACTCAGCGGCATGTACAGACTTTTATTTCTCTCGTTATCTGTCTAGAACACTATCACACGTAAAATCATATAACATATACATTTTAAACTGTCTGGCCTAAAACTGAATCTTTCAATTTCAACTCAACTGCAGTGCTACACAGCCTTAACTCAGCTCAGGATGTTCCCTTCGTTCTTGTTTCACTTACGTCCCCCTGGAGATTAAAATTAATATCACTTTTCATATTCTACAGCAAATTTATAATGATCGTCTCATTAGAAGAGGCTTCTTTTACCGAAAACAATTCTTTTATCATAAACACCGTAGTAAAGAAAAACTGGGTGTTCATAAAACTGTCAAACAAAGATAATATTGTATGAATTGTAGTAAGTAGACAGAATTAACACATACAGTATGATTTCCCAGATCGATAAGAATCTGTACAGATTATTACTTGGTAGAGGAGAACATCCTGACCTAAAGATTATTACTTTGTAGCCCCTGTTTTGTTTAAAAACAAGCGAGCAAAAGAGTACGTTCGAAATGGTGTATTTAAGTGTTTTTACACTTACAAGTGTCGGCTAACAATACGAATAATTAAATTGTGACGGAATGCTACAAGTTCTTCAAATACCTATAGAATGATAAGTTTCTTTTTTGTGTTTGTTTGTTTGTAACTAATCACAAAGCTACACAATGGGCTATATGTACTCTGCCCACCATGGGTATCGAAACCCGGATTCTAGCGTTGTAAGTCCGCAAACATACCGCTGTGCCACTGGGGGTCCTTTTTTGTCAGTGTAAAACACTTAAATACACCATTTCGATTTTCGATGCCTCACTACTATAATAACTTGGTTTGGTCTCTGGTGAATTTCCGCTTAATAAATTAATTTTAAAGACGCTTCCACTCTAACAAATTATTTATAGCTTTCCGGTTTCGTTTGAAAAACCTTAAGTACGAAACACGACAAAGTGATTTTCTGACCGAATAATTTATCTTTACATAAGGCGGAAGTCGCTGTTGTAGGAACCTGTAAAGGTTCATTTGAATGTTAGGAACGAATGCGTGTCGGCGAGAATAAAAACAGTTTGACAATTGTATAATAAGAATATTCATGTGTTGTCCTACCGTATAGTATATTTGATATAGTCATATTTAACATGATCAATTTATTGGGTAAAGAAGTCGAACAATATCCAATTATTCATGCGTTATGGAATGTTAAATTTTTGTTATTTTCCCTTGTAAAAATATACGGAAATTTCCAAATATACAATATGAAAAACCGCGATAACACAAGCCTAATTTGGTAGAATATAATATTATCCACACAGTTTTATCCTCTGATTACTAGATAAATCAAAGATAAAAACTTTTACCCGATATTACGTGGGAAAAGAAATGAAAGAGACTGAATTATAGAAACTCTATAACCTTAAGAGTGAAATCAAACTTAGCTGCTACACAATATTTTCACAGGTTATAATTGGAATTCATCTACTTTAAAAAAATACTTTTACTTGTGACTTACTTTACTGAACGTTCTAGCCACGTGTTTTTTTAACTTTTACTTGTATTTTTAGCGACATTTGTGAACGTTTTGACTGTATTTTAGCTAGTTTTGTGAACGTTTTGATTGTATGTTAGCTAGTTTTGTGAATGTTTTGACTGTATTTTAGCTACTTTTGTGAACGTTTTGACTGTATGTTAGCTACATTTGTGAACATTTTGACTGTATTTTGCTAGTTTTGTGAACGTTTTGACTGTATGTTAGCTAGTTTTGTGAATGTTTTGACTGTATTTTAGCTACTTTTGTGAACGTTTTGACTGTATGTTAGCTACATTTGTGAACATTTTGACTGTATTTTAGCTAGTTTTGTGAACGTTTTGATTGTATGTTAGCTAGTTTTGTGAATGTTTTGACTGTATTTTAGCTACTTTTGTGAACGTTTTGACTGTATGTTAGCTACATTTGTGAACATTTTGACTGTATTTTAGCGACATTTGTGAACGTTTCGATTGTATTTTAACTGCATTTGTTAACATTTTGACTGTATGTTAGCTAGTTTTGGGGATGTTTTGACTGTATTTTAGCTACTTTTGTAAACGTTTTGACTGTATTTTAACTACATTTGTTAACATTTTGACTGTATGTTAGCTAGTTTTGTCAATGTTTTGACTGTATTTTAGCTAGTTTTGTAAATGTTTTGACTGTATTTTAGCGACATTTGTGAAACTTTAAGTGCGATGTTGTATCTTCTATTAAACCACGTTTTATATTTCAAGGACTTCGACAGCTTCGGTCAATAATCAGTTTGTTTATATGTAATACTAATTACTCGCACTTTAGGGTTAGTCGCTATACCAAGTTGTGTTCCTATAGAGCAGATATACATGTAATTACATTATATTACGTTTAAGCTCTAAGTTACACAATGGAATATCTAGCTTCTATCCACTACAGGGAATCAATCGTTATAGCGTTGTATGTCCTTAAACTTACTACTGGGGGAGAGATATTTCCAAGTTGTAGGGGATGTTGAAGTAATATATGCGAGAGACGATGAGCAGATGTTTTGTTACGTAGCTCGCTTGCGAACCAGCAGAGGGTGTTGTTGATCATGAATGTCAAGCTGTATCAATTTATACAGCTATTTCATTCTCTATAGTTCTGAACACGGTATTAGTTAGTGTACTATCGTTAGGGTTAGCTTCATAGTTCCATTTCTATAACAACGATAAACAAGTATTTTATTTTCGAATACGTAAATCTAATACTTTACACTTTAAATATAAGTATAGTGTACTTCATGAATAGTCATATATTAGTTTAACCTACAATCGATATCCAGGCCTGTTTTTTTAACGTAGATAATTCAAACTCTAGATATTTATCCCGTACATCGCACTGATTGGTGATTTGTAAGACTATACATCTATACGATGGGCGTAAAGATGTTGGTCTCGCTGAGGAAATTATTCCCGTGAAGAGCTGTGACTTCTTCATTGACAAGGGTGACATCTGTATAACCTTAGAAGAATCAGACATGAATGTGTAACATTAATGTACAGATTATACATACGTCAGATAACCTTTGACTTCTGTCATACACCAGTGGCCCCAAAAGGAGTTTAGGCTTAGTTTAGCGACAGATGTTCCTCTAGGGCTAGTATATACTGTTTTACAAAGATATCATTCGCGGAATATTTCAGTATATATAATTTTACAATGTTTTCACGAAGTCTTTAATAATATAGCTTTATAAGTCACCTGATTATAAGTATAATGTTATGTTTCGTGAACCTCCTAAACTTTCAATCACATCATATTTTCATTTTAAATTAAATCTAGATTCACATTTCTTTTAAAGACTTTCACGTTAATTTTACGGTTTGTCTTGGCCTTTACCAGGGAAATGTACGGTAGATCAGAGAAGGCCGGAAGGGCCTTGCTGCGGGTTGGGCAGGCCGTCACTAGAGCTGTCGAGCGGTTTGTGGCCGTGGGAGAATGTATAGCCGAAGACAATCCTCAGATTAAAGTGGACATGTACGAAGCTTGTAAGGACGCCAGGACAGCAGGTAATCATGTGCTTAGTGATTTTATGCTAAGATCCGATGTTCGAAACCCCTTTTCTGACCAACTTTCTGTACGTGACGGTTTAAAATGTTCTATTATCAGATTGTAAAATATACGAGGAGAGTAAAAGTAATAAAAATATTCACTTATACACACTGTTTACGTCTTTATCTTCTCACAATTCACAATGTTGTTGCGTGTAATAATGATTAATGTGTTTGGTTTAACCAGCATTGCTTATCGAGCAACTCTGCGAAAGTCAACGAGTAGAGACTGCCCGCCACGGAGTTGATAGATCCCGGACGGCCAGGGCAGCCCGAGGTTTACTGGCATCGATAACAAAAGTTTTAATACTGGCAGATACCGTAGTAGTGCAACAGTTACTTAATACTAAAGACCGGGTAAGTCAGCAATACCATAACTATATATCTCAGACAACCAGCTAAACCGCTAGAGTATACAATACCTGAAGTAACATAGATCTAAAACATTCAGTTAAACCGCTAGAGTATACAATACCTGAAGTAACATAGATCTAAAACATCCATTTAAACCGCTAGAGTATACAATACCTGAAGTAACACGGATCTAAA